GGGGGGGGGGAGCTAGTTCTTGCCCCGGGGAACCAGGCCATAAGGCAGGAAAGAGCTAGGATCAGATCTTAAAGCCTCGGAAGGTGGCGGCCGGGGTAGCAGAAGCCACTGAAAGATACCAAATTGGGCCATATTAAAAGATTTGGGATTTTATTCTGCAGGCGACTGAGAGCTGTTGAAGGGTATTAAAGAAAAGGATGGGTAGGATTTGTACTGTAACAAGAAACTTCCCTCCTCCCTCGACTTTTATGGAGAAAATGTTCTAAAGGGCAAGAGAAGCTGTGGAAAACCAGGCAGGAGGCCAGGAGTATTACCTGCAAGCTAGTCCTCCTTTGCTGAGTCCTCCCTTGTCCTATTTCTTGCTCTTCTTCGCCTCCTCATTTTTTTCTCTCTCAATTACAGATCATGGGTATGAAATCAAAGCCTAGTATATATTATTTATAATTGTTTGCTATAAAAACAAAATAGATTGGACATTTAAAAGCTTGCAAAAGAAAATAATATTCCAAGTTAACATTATTATTATTAGTTTGTTGTTCTTTATCATAAAAGGGATCCATACTTAAAATGTTGTAGGGAAATACAGGACAATGGAGGGGGAGGGTTTTACAGACCCATTACAAGAGAATGTTCCATCCCTCCTGGCCTATGCAGCTGATGTCCACAGCTAGAATCCTCCAAATTCAGAAATACCTTTTCTGGTATATGTAGCCCATAGTGAAAGATGTACATTCATTTGGGTGAATCATTATACAATGATAAAAATTACGAATACACACTTTGTTATGATTAAATGTTTATAAAATGTGTGCAGTAGAGATAAAATTCAGTAAAAGCTCATTGTATACGTTACGTATTTTAATTGTCATACGGTTACTGATGTGATTCTACTCCTACCTGTCTCAATACCTACCTTGCTAAAAAAATATTGATGAGAGGGCAAATTGATATAATTTCCTTATGCACAGAACATTGAAGTTTATGCTGGATAAAACTCTACCTTCTAGTACATAAAATCACCTCTAATTTACACTTAATCCTCTCTACTCAAAACATATCTGGAATGCATGGCTTTCTCCCCACCCCATTATCCTGCCCACCCTTTATCTTGTCACTTCTGGAGAAAGGCAAGACCGTGTCACATGTCTCCCTACTTCCAATCTTGCCTCCCCTACATTGTTATTCCTGCGGCTGCCAAAGAAAATATGATTATGTAATGCCTCTGCTTAAATTCTTCCAGTCGCCTATGGTATTTAGAATAATGCCCAAACTCCTTTACAGAGCCTGTGAGACCTCACATGGTCCGGCCTTTGCCAATCTCTCCTTCCTCCTTCCCTCACTTCATGAGCCCAGTGTTTTTTTTAAACAAGTAGTAAATAAAAAGTTTAGTCAATTATGTAGGTACATAGAATAATACCATGCAAAAGTAAGTTCGTGTCTCACTGTTTTGAAAAGATTTTTGTGTTTTTTCCATATTATCCAGTTCAAGACTTTATAATAAATAACAAAATAGAAATAAGTAAATATTGCCCTTAGGTGCTTCATGGTGACCATGGAAATGTGCCTGCAAAGGGCTAGCAAATTCAATGAGATAGCAGAGGTCAGATCTAACGGACAAGAAATATTGATACGCTTACCTCTGCAGTTCTCTTATTTTGAGAAGCAAGAATCTAATTTTTTTCCTTTATTTTTTTCTCTTTTAACTTTTTTTTAAATTTTTTTTTAAAAATATATCTTTATGGATTTCAGAGAAAGGGAAGGAGAGGGAGAGAGACAGAAACATCAATGATAAGAGAGTTGTTGATCGAGCCCACAACCCAGGCATGTGCCCTGACTGGGAATTGAACCCTGATCACCTGGATCCCAGGTAGGGGCTCAACCGCTGAGCCACGCCCAGCCAGGCTATTTTTTTCTCTTTTAAAAATATGTGTTTATTTCAAAGAGAGGAAGACAGTTAGAAACATCAGTAATGAGTCATTGACTGCCTCCTGCAAGCCTCCTACTGGGGATCCAGCCTGCAACCCTTGGCATGTGCCCTGACCCGGAATAGAACTGTGATCTGATTCATGGGTCCACACTCAACCACTGAGCCACACCACTGGACTCTGCTTTATTTTTAGACAGAAGCACAAATATATCCATGCCTGTCTGAGTAACTGATACTTTACACCTGATCTAGGAACATAAGGAGAACAACATGGGAGACTCAGAACTCAAGTTCTACATCAGTTCCCATGAAAATTTATGAAGGGGAGGGGGCTGTCAAGGTGAAAAATGTAGTAATAGAGTCTCCAGCATCAACAGAACTTTTGTGGGCACGTTTGGGGATCATAACATCTCTGATGGGTCACAAACAGCCCACTAACCTCTGAGCCTGCAAACTGGTCTCTTTTGATAGATAATGAGCCTACAGACAGAGTGGTCTTTACAAATGCAAATCTGACCAAATTACATATAGGATGATTTTATTTTTCCTCCCCCCAAGTGTTTCTCCTTACCTTCGGAGAGGGAGATGGGAATGAGAGATATTCTAATAATAGTGACCACTATTTATTGATGGCCTGACTTAGTATATGTCAGATCCTGAGTTAAACATTATATTATTGAATCTCTTAAAGCCTGTTATTAGGTGGGTATCATCCTCAACTTACAGATGAGGAAACCAGGCTTCGACTGGCCGCACACACTTGTCCAGGATCGCTCCCAGGTAAACCTGCCTCCAAATTCAGAGTTTGCAGCCACCGTAGTACACGCCCCGCGCCACCGGGCGCTGGGACTGGAACTGCAATTCCCGTGGAGCTGTGCGGCAGCCTCGCGAGAATAGGCTTAAACGCGGCGGCGGGAAGGCCGCAGCTCCGGCTCCCCCAGCAGTTGGGAGGCGGACGGCTGAGGCGATGGCGGACAGCTACGTCTCTGACAACGAGCCTACGACACGTACGCTGCTGCGGCGCGTGCTGGATGCAGAGGTCCCGCGCACCCCGCGGCGACCCCGGAGTACTCGGGCTGGGTATGTGAGGGCGCTGCCCGAGCACCTGGGCAACCGGAGGGCACTGGCGGGTGGGGTCTCGGTGTGACCCAGCGCTGACCCAGTTTGGAGAAGGAAACTGAGTCTTAGAGAGTTGCGGAGCCCAAGGCTCCGAGAACAGGTGCTACTCCCTTATCTGGGCTTGGGTCAGCTGTTTGTGCCCTCACCCCGGGGACTTCAGGCCACCAGGAGTTCAACTATGCCCGCGTTTTAGGTGGTCCGCCCCTGGAAGTGAAGGATAGGCGCTCAGAATCCGGCCTTCTGCCCAGTTCTCTAGGCCACTTTCCCCCAAACCAGCCTAGGGTGTGTCAAAACATCTGCCCTGAACTACCTCCCAGGTGGTCCCTCCTTTCCCTGCACATTCAGTCCTACTGTCCTTGTAGCGCCCAGCTGGAAGATGGGAAGGGAGCTGGGGAGCACAGCCTTGGCAGAAGACGGGAGGCAGGAACTGGAAAGGTTCTTTGCTAGGGAACAGGAATTTGGCCTGACTTGGTGGGAGTGTCAGCGGGTGAAGGCTGTGGTGAGCTCATGGTGCAGAGGGTGTGGTAGTTGGCATCTGCCAGACTGCGGCAGTGCAGTTCCTTTATAGGCAATGGAAAGCCATTCATTACAGGTTTTAGAGCTATGTTGATGAGGTGGGAGCTGTACCCTGGGAACATTTATGTGGTTCTGGAATCTGAGAGGGATTTGGACTAGAGAGACTAGGGCTAGAATGACCCATGTGGAGGTTGCTGTCAGACCCTGATGAGTACTTAAAAGGTTTAAAAATATTTAAGTCTCTTTCTTGGATTGTTATTTTAATGGCTGGAATGGATACACTTCCAATTACTCCTCTTGTCTGTGTGGCTAATCCCTACTTCTGCCAAAGTCACCTCTGTGACTTCCTCAGCCCCTCTCTCTAACTGGGTCATTGTTTTCTCTCCCATCCCATACCTCTTCAGCTCCCTTTCATCCATAACACTAGTGACATAGAGCTGGGAACAGGCTGTGGGAAGGACAAGTGGTTTCTGGGTCCCTGGCCCTGAGGGAAAAAGTCTTCAGGCCAAGATCCCTGATAAAGACACATCCCTGCATCCTCTAGTTCCCCCTCACTACATAATTCTCAGAGCCACTGATCTTTATACAGTGCCCAGAGAACCCTGGTTGAAACACCTTTCTCTATGAGGTTGAGGAGCCAAACAAAGACAACTGCCAGGTGGCATTCACATAGAGCCAGGGTAAGTGCCCATTCCACTCACCACTATAGGGCTCTGGCTGCCTCCAGGGACCCCTAAGTTCTAGCTCTGTTCTTGAGCCCACCATGAGGGAATCTCAAGGCAAAGGAACAGACTGTTTGCTTGGTGCTTTTGCCTAAAGTCTATTGGCAGATTGGCCCACATCCAAACCAGTGAACATCTGAAGGAACAAACACCCCGGACTCTGCTTGAGAATATCCTACTAACTGGTAAGTGAGCACTGGTCTGCTGGTCAGAGTTACACACCAGTCCCATGGTATCCCCTTATTCAGGGCAGCTTGCCCTGCTAGCCCCACCCCTTCTTATTATTTTTACAGCCCCAGAATCTTCCATGGTTATGCCAGAGTCAGTGGTGAAGCCAGTGCCAGTACTGCAGATGGTCCAGTTCTCTAGCCGGGAAAGCAGTCCGGGCAGGTGCATAGTGAATCCCCACCTTGGAGCTGGGCTGTTAGGCAGCTCTGATCAGGCGGCTTCTTTGGGGGTCCTAAAAGCTATATTTGGGCTTCCTGGCCTGTCTGAGATTAGCTCCATACTTATAGCCTGGAGCTGCAACTTCCTGAGCTCGAACCTCCCACAACCCTGGCTCCAAGTCAGCTGGCTTCTGGCAAGAGGAAGCAGAGGCTGAGATTGTCAGAGTTTCAGCAAGGAATGGACCAGGGGCTGCCTGTCCCCCAAGGTGAGGCCCTGGACAACACCTATGGCCACCCTCTCTCCCCTGTTTTCTGTAGAGGCTTAGGAGGCCTGAGAGAGGGCTATCATGAGCCTGGTAACTTATATTTCCTTCTTTTAGGTCCTCTTGCAGAGCCTCATGGGAATGCTGGTGCCTCCTCCCTCACCAGGTGCTATTCCCTTTTCTGGGGGTTGGTGGAGGAGAGGCTTGGGGGAGAGGGTGTTGACTAGAATGGATTCTGGCCATACTGCTCCCTGCGTTTTAGCCTTACTGCATGGTAGCTGTGTTCTAAAAGATGAGAGCACCAGGGCAGATGGAGAAATCAGGGGTGGGGGGCTAGGCCTCAGGTAGCTGACTTTCCTTTGTGCCTCCTCTCTCCCACTAGCTCCCTCAACCTGACCTTTGCCACACCTCTCCTGACACAATCAGTGCAGAGGCCTGGTTTGGCCCGCAGACCTCCAACACGCCGAGCTGTAGATGTGGGTGCATTTTTGCAGGATCTGCAAGATACTTCTGCGGCCTTGGCTCTTCCAGGTAAGGTTGAGATTTCCTTCTTTCAGCCTGTGGGGAAAGCTCTCTCCCCATGACAGGAGGTGCTGCTGAGTCCAGGGTTGCTCCCCTCTTCATTGGGTCAAGGACAGTGAACAAGCCTGACCAGCAGGTCTATAAGGAGTTTCTGCTTTCTTTCCATAAGGTTTTCTTATCTTGGTGGGACCTAGTCTTAGTCCCTCAGGGTCTTACAGGACCCCATATCCTTGAGCTACAAGGCTGAGGATAGGAAATGGGTGGTTAGAGTTTGTTGAGAGGTTGAAAGGGGCAAAGTTTCAGGATAGCTGGCCATTCAAGCTGACCTGGGAATCTGATTCCAGAAGACAAGTTCACTAGGGTAAGAGGAGGGTTCCAAGCAGAGGGAGCAGAGGGAGAAGTAGAGAGTGGAGGCATGGATGAGCAGTTTGTGCGGGGCAAGCAGTGGAGCCTGGGAATGCCAGGCTAAGGAGCAGGAAGGTAAGCAGAGAGTTGTATTACGGAGATAAGGCTTAGAGTGCTGTGTAATCTTCTGTCTCTGAAGGCTGCTTGGGATAGACTTATGGGCCCCCCCTTATGGCCAGGCCCTAGTGACTGGATAGCAGCAGGTGGTCAGGAATATACTGAGTGCCATCTGGCCCTTGATCTTCAGGTGACAGGACCCCTGTTGCTACCCTGCCAACGGACACAGTATTGGAGGACACCCAGCCTTTCTCCCAGCCTTTGATTGGCCGTTCCCCCAGTATGCATCACTCCCTCCCCTGTCCCTCTCTCTCTGCTGAAAGGACTGTCAGCCGCAGGACACGGAGCAGTGGGCCTGGGATGCAGAAGAACAACAGTGAGTATGTGGGGCAGGTGACCTAGAGACAAGCCAAGCTTGGGCAAGAGTTGGCACTGGTTGTTTTCCCTCCTTGGGTCCATATGTGTGCCCCTCAGTCCCATGGCTGTTGGTCTCTCCTCCATCCATGTGTAGAGTCAGTGTTACACCAGGAGACTCTAAACCAATACTTGGGGCTGCCTCTGGCCTTCTTCTCTTAATAGGCTAGGCTGGGTTTTACTATTACATCTTTACCCTTTTCAGAGTTACAGCCTTGGCCTACTACTTCTCTAGCCTGTATTCTCTCCCCTTGATTCAGGTCCTGGGAAACCAGCCCAGCTTCTGGCAGGAAAGGCAGAGGAGGTTGATGCCTTTACTAATGGCTTCCCAAACACCAGCAATAGTATCTCTGGAGAAGATGGACTAGAGCCCTTACAGGGTGGAGTTGGTGAGGAGGTAGAGGAACTAATGGAAGAAAGTTTAAGCGTGAGTGAAGTGAAAGAGGCAGCAGGAGCACAAGGATCTGCCAGAGCAGAAGAGCCTGAGACACACACACAAGTGATAGAAGCAGAGGGATCCTGGGGCACTACCGAGGCCAAGGAGCCAGAAGTATCTTCAGGAGATAAGGACATTGCAGGTAGGACAGGTAAGGGGCCCAGTGCTGGGATCAGGGGGTGAGTGGGTAGGTGACAGTTGTGTTCAGTCCATGGCCTTGGAGGAGGGCCTTATCTGGGTTGTATTTCTGAGCACAGGTAGTGTTGGGCCAGGGAGACTGAGGTACGCCTTGCTTGGCTGGCTAGAGCTAGATGGGGCCCTTGATGAACAGGACAAAGAGGCTGTAGGCCTTCAGGGTTGTGTGAGATGTTAGGTATGAGCTCCTGGTAACCCTGCCTTTTCTCTACAGCAAGTCCAGAGTTGGCCTCCAGCACCCCGGAGTTTCCTCAGGCCAGGCAACTTGAGTTCCTTGAGCCAGCCCCACCAACGAGCCCTGCAGTGTAAGATCCCATGACCTTGTTCCACATGGGCCCCTTGGGAAGGGGCAGGCACTGTGGTTGGCATTGGGCACCACAGGGTTATCCCTCTTCCTACAGGTATGCAGATGATTACCCTCCAGAGCACCCTTAGGTGGGCTGGGTGGGGCTCACCACCACCACATCTGTTTTCCTGGTGCCTGCTTCCAGGGGCTTAGAGAGCCTGGGTAGGGGAAGTGGCTAGGTCAGTATGTAGTCAGAAAAGGTTTCATGAAGGAGGATTAGCAGAATCAGACAGGCAGCAATGGGCTGAGGGGAGGGAATGTCCATGCCGAGGCCTAAGGGTCATGGACCTAAGCAAGTACCAGATTGTTTGATGAGGCTAGACAGGGACATTGGGTCCAGACTGTGGAGCATCAGGGCCACAAGGAGAAACCAGGCCTCTATGTGGCCCCTTGTCCCCCTCCCCCTCCCCCCACCCTCAGCAGATAGTTGGAGCTGTTGGTCCAGGCTGACCAAGGAACACAAGGGCCCCTTGGCCCTTGCAGGAGCCAGCAAGATCTATCTTTGATTAGGGGCCTCTTCAGGCAGCAGCTCTTTTCTACCCCCAGCTTATCTTCAGAGCCTCTGGAGCCTCTATCAGCCAGGCTTCCTCCCAGGGTCCAAACTGCTGGCCCCAGACTCCGTCAAGATCCCTATAAGACTGGACTGAGCCACTATGCTAAGCTCTTCAGCTTCTATGCTAAAATGCCCATGGAGAAGAAGGCTCTTGAGATGGTGGAGAAGTGGTGAGTCCTGGACCCTCAGGTGGTGAGAGGAGCCCCTCACATCATGAACAGTCTATTCAATCTGTTCTACCCCCACCTTCTTGATAGCCTGGACAAGTATTTCCAGCGTCTTTGTGATGACCTGGATGTATTTGCTGCTCATGCTGGCCGCAAGACTGTGAGGCTAGAGGACCTGGAGCTGCTGATGCGAAGGTAAGTGGACGGAAGCAGGGAGGTTCTATGTGTGGGAATGCTGGCGCTGATTCTGTCTGTCTCTGTCTTCTGCTGTAGGCAGGGCCTGGTCAATGACCAAATCTCCCTTCACGTGCTTGTGGAGCGGCACCTGCCCCTGGAGTACCGGCAGCTCCTCATCCCTTGTGCTTTCAGTGGCAATGCTGTCTTCCCTGCCCAGTAGTGGTCAGACTTCGACACCTGCCCTGTCCCCTTGGCCCCACATACTGTTCCAGGTCTCCTTACCACACCCCATCATCAATAAAGTATCACGCCCAGCAGGTGTAGCCCAGAGGTTGAGCATCGACCTATGATCCAGGTGATCACATTTCAATTCCCTGTCAGGACACGTGTCCCAGTTGCAGGCTCGATCCCCAGTAGGGGGCGTGCAGGAGGCAGCTGTTCAGTGATTCTCTCTCATCATTGATGTTTTTATCTGTCTCTGTCTCTCCCTTCTTCTCTTTGAAAACCAATAAAAACATATTAATAAGTATCACAAACAGAATATGCTGTGTTTTGATACATGTCCTGGGGCCAGTCAGGCAGGGACCAGCCCTCTCCCCTTGACTCCCCAGCATAAACCTGGAGAATAGCATGAGTTCAGACAAACAATTTTATACTAAAAGGCCGGGGTAGCTGCCCATAGTGGCCCTAGCTTACAGGCTCCTGCTCCCGAGGTCCCTTACGCCTTAAGTCGATCATATGAAGCCGTTCCAGTACAGTCTGGAGCTGTAACACAATGTCTTCTTCCTTCTCCTCACCGTCCTCTGGGGGTTCTGTCACAGGGAGCTGGAAGGCCTGGCTCAAATAGCTGTTCAGGGTCTGGTTGTCCAGGCTGGGATCAATGATCATCAGGGCCTCATGTACCTGGGGTAGGGTCACTTCATCAGAGCTGCCCCACAGGAAAAGAGAGAGATAGATAAGCCTTGATACCTCCCTCCAACACCCCAGACCCCAAGGTGCCTTCTGCTAGGCTTGCTGCCCAGCAGCAAGCTCAGTACACAGGGACTTGAGATGCCACCCTGTGGCCCAGCCTGTGGGACTTGCCTATGGCTACATGGGCTTGAGGGCCCCAGGGTCACTCACAGTTCCAGGCCCAGCTCCTGCTTTAGCTCCTTTAAGTACTCATCCTTTTCATCCATGTACTGTTCCCACAGCTTTTGCACAAAGGGCATACTCTGGCCCTCCGCATCCTGGGAGGGGCCATAAGACAGGGTGATAGTACATGGGCTAGCGTCTAGCAGAGACTAGGGCAGGGCTGGGCAAGTTCCTGGTCCCCCATCAACCACCCACCTCCATAAACAATGAGCGGTAGTTCAGCAAGTCTGCATTGCTGCTGTTGGTGTGCCAGCCCCCTGCCTCCATCAGCTCCTGAATTTTCTCTTCCTTCTTCAAGGGGAAGTTGCTCTTGAGAACAGTGCTGTGAGGAAACACAAGGGCCTGGCTGAGGCCTGCCTACCCATTTCCTTACACCCTTTTGCCAGCCCACTACTGCTCAAAAGTAGCCAGTACTGAGGCTGTGGCCCTTCCCACCAGGCTCCCTTTCCCCTGTACATCTGGGAGCCTGGCCAGAGGGAATATCAGGCAGGAGTTTGAGGTGGCCTGGCAGCCTCTCACCTTAACTGCTCCATGGTTAGTAGCCCCTCATTTTGACTGTCAACATTTGTCATCTCCTTCAGCAGCTGTGTTACTGTCTCCTTCTGCTTGATGTACACATTTTCACTCCTCTGCAAGGAGGAAAGCACTGACTAACTTGCTGCCTCTTGGAGGGGTAGAGACAGAGCTGGCCTCTGCTGGGGACAAAGGGCGGAGGGCCATACCCAAGCTCACCTTCTCCGTCAAGATTGCATAGAACTGACTCATGATCTCGTTGGAGCGGAAGAGCTTAATATTTTCAAAAATGGTGTAAGCCCAGGCCATGGCATCAGTAGGACCAAAGCGACGCTCCAGGAAATTTAAGAAGAAATCTGGAAAATTCTCTTTCTGCAGTGTGGGGGAAAGACTGCTTCATTAGTCATCCCACAGTTGGTTGGCCCTCCACCCTGCTCCCTAGCACCTTGTGGGAATCCCCCCCCATCCCCCGCATAGCTCTAGAGGGCACACCTGGCCAGATGGCTGGTGAGATCTGACCTGCTCCTCAGCAAGACGTTCCTTCCAGGCATCCTTGAGGAGGTTTACCACATCCTTCTTGGTTGGCTTCTTGTTCTCCACCATGCCATCAAACCGAAGGAAAGAGGGGACGGATTCCTCATAGCCCTAGAAGGGAGAGTGTCAGCTCATCACTGAATCCTCAAGCAAGGCAGAGCCCCAGAGGGTTCCCCCAGAACCTCAAGTCTTCTTAGCGGCAAGGCCTAGCCATTCTGGCTGGCCGCAGGCCTCCCAAGCCCAGGGAATCCCCTACCAGACCAGGGAAGAAGTCTTTCTCCCGGAGCAGCCCCTCGCCAATCTCCTCCAGGAGCACATCCACCAGCTGGTCACTGTTCTTGCCCTTGGCCAGCATGTGCCAGCGATCTGGGCCCCCAGCCACCACTTCTGCAGGTGGAGAGAGGAAGCTGAAGTCCAGACTGCACACTTGAGCAGTCCTTGCAGCCCCAATTACCTTCAGTGGCCATCATAACCTTTACACTTGATCCAGTCAGGCCGTGGTGTGGAGGTGCGCTGGATCTCCTGCAGCTCAGAATAAAACTGGTCCCGCTCCTTCAGCGTGCTCATGTGCAACTGCAGTAGTATCTCATGCTCCTTTCGGACCTCTTCATAGTCATCTCTCAGGCTTTCCAGCTGTGGGCAAGGTAATTGGTCCTTGCTGCCCACCTGCATGACCCTGCCCTACCCTGCCTGGCCTGCCTGGCCACCAGCACCTGCTCCTGAAGATCCTTGTTGGTCTTCTCCTGCATTTCAAAGTCCCTCCTGGGCACCACATCTCCAAAGTTGGCCTTCATGGTGTTGAGTTCCATCTGTGTGCGGGCCAGGTCTTGCCGGGCCATCTTCAGAGCCAGTGTTAACTTCATGGGGTCCTCCCCCCAGATGCCTGCCAGGGGGCCTGGCAGCTCGAATCACCCTGGCTCTGGGGCTTATAGCCCAGGGCAGGGTTAGAGTGTCCCTTGGGGTGTATCTCAGGTCCTTTTGCTCTCCCTGCTTGGGAACCCCTAGGTCTTTCCCACGTTGCTATCAGCCTATGGCTGAGGACTTTAGAGAAGCCCAGGACAAGGGGTACCAGGTCTGTCCTGCCCTTAGGGAGTCTAGGCTGCTTCAGCTGCCAGAAATTGTTTCCTACTTAAGCAGTGAGTCTATGATTCTCAGCTCAGAAGATCCACAGACCCAGGTGGCAGCAGGAACATCTCTCATCAGGAATGGGCACAAAATGAGCAGATATTAGGAGAGTTGAATGAATGGGAGTAATGAGAGCAACTTCTCTGCAGCACCTCCTCCAGAGAGAAACCTACCTCGGACTTACCTGGGGACTGGGCTAGCGACATGTCTTCCCGCTGGTACCGTAGCTCATTCAGGTCTGCGATGAGGATCTTGCGGGCATCTCGTTCAGTGAGGTAGCGTAGATATTCCTCAGCCAAGTTCTTCCTCAGTTTAGTCACCTGTTGGGGAAGTGGCTGCATGGTCAGGGGCTAAGTCACCACAGGGGATGCGATGCATGCTGGGTGGCCCCGTCACAGCCTGGGAACAAGAAAACTAGAGGAAGAGGGAAACTGGCCATTCTTGAGAATCAGCAAAGTGCCAATGTGTGGAGAAAGTATGGCAGCAAGGAGCAGAACTCTGCTGGCATTTGGGGCCACACTGAGCCATTGCTGAGCCAAGGCTGAGTGTGGAAGTAGCAGGGGCTCTGGGGAGGTGGTGGCTCAGTATGTTAGTCCAGGCAGAAGTGTGGAGGGAGTCACCTCAATGCCCAAGGCCTAGGGTCACTCCTGGGATGGGAGTGGCAGGGATTCAGGGAGTTGGTTACTGTACTGTTCCCTTTTACCTCACTCTGCAACGAGATCTTCTCCTCATTCTTTTTGTCAATGAGTTTTAGCAAATTCATCTTCTCTTTCTTCAGCACGGAGATTTCAGATCTCTCTTCAGCCCTCATGGCCAAGATCCTTTCGTTGCAGTCCTCATTCACCGTGACAAGCTTGGCCTTCAGGGGTTCCAGAGCCCGAATCTTCTCCCTCTGGTGGGCTAAGCAGGGACAAGTGGGAGAGACCCTTTGGGGCCCTGGAGAACAGCCAGGAGAAACTGATTCTAAGGTCATAGTGAGTGGCTATGTCCCTTGCAAACTCCAGGAGTCTACTCATGCCTTGGTCAAAGCATGGCCCCTATTTAAGGCCTTTCTGCACTTGCTTTTAAACCAGGGGCAGAGCCCAGCCAGGCGTGGCTCAGCAGTTGAGCGTCGACCTAGGATCCAGGAGATCGGGGTTCCATGCCCGGTTGTGGGCTCGATCGATGACTCTCTCATCATTGATGTTTCTATCTCTCTCTCTCCCTCTCCTTTCCTCTCTCTGAAATCAATAAAGATATATAAAAAAAATAAAAAGTTTAAAAATAATAATAAAAATAAAAATAAATAAACCAGGGGCAGAGCCCAGCCAGGCATGGCTCAGCAGTTGAGTGTCAACCTAGGATCCAGGAGATTGTGGTTTAATTCCCAGTTAGGACACATGCCCGGGCTGCAGGCTCGATCTCCAGTGGGGGGCGTGCAGGAGGCAGCCAATCAATGACTCATCCTTGATGTTTTTCTCTCTCCCTCTCCCTTCTTCTCTGGAATCAATAAAGATATATTTTTAAAAAATTTAAATCAGGGGCAGAGTCCAGATGATGACTGGAGTCTCACCTATGTCCTTTCCCCCACGGCCTTTAGTCCTGCAGCTGCACCATGCCTGGCACCTGGGAGGGGGGGGTCCTTCTTCCCAGAGGTACTCCCTCCCTTCTGGGATCACTCTCAATGGAAAAGATGCTCTATTTCCTACAGATACTGCCTCATCATGCTTCCCAAGTATAGGAGGTGGTCAGGTTCCCTGGGGTGCCCCAGCGGAAACAAAAAGGATAAGCAGGGCTTGGTGACCTTAAGGCTGTTAGCTGCCCCAGCGCTGCTGCAGAGCCCCGAAAGGTGAGGGTAGGATCCTCTCTACCTCTTCCAGTCTGGGCCCAGACAGGGAGGCTGCAGTCTTACCCAGCATCACCTCATATGCATTCTTGATGGAGGATAGCAATGGCTTGTACGTTTTGAAGTCCTCTATGAAGAACTCGAAGATCTCTCTGTAAGGCTGGCAAGAAAAGGGAACCTGTCACCTGACCTATAGCTGCTACCCTCAGTGGGACCTGAGTTTTTCTTTACTTGGCTTAGAA